AAGCACCGTGCTTACATTTGAAAGAAAGCTGCAGTAAAGAAGAAGTTGTTTCAGTTATGGTAAATGTAATTCGCAGCACAGTGCAGCATACAGGAACTGTCATTTTGTTGAGAAGATGGGGAGGGAGGGTCGTGAATGACTTAATAGACAGGGTCAGATACTGAGCCAAGAAGACAAGGAAGAATAGATGCTCAGTGCATGGTTTGCTCTGCTAGGATGTGGCTGGAAGTGGGTGAGCACATGGAGGATAGAACATTACCATTCATCCAGACTCAGGCTCATTGGATGGGAAGTATTGAGGATGATGATCAAGTCCAAATCTGGTCGCATCCCTTGTGGACCTCCAGCAAGCAGTTAGTCTTATGTGAACATATCTGCTTTCCCTTTTACTTTTGTTTTTTGAGGGGCATCTGGCTGGCTCAGTAGAGTCTGCAACCCTTGATCTCAGGTTCATGAGTTCAAGCCCCATGTTGGGCATGGAGCCTACTTAATAAAATGTAAAAAATAAATAAAAAATTAAGTTTCTTGAGATTATGTACAGTACTGCCTATCCTTGAAAGTTAGAAATGAATGAAGTAGTTGAATCAACATGTTCGGTCTCTCCCCATGGAGGAAGTGAACTTAGTGATGTACATAATATTTAAGTAACATTTTCCTCCTCTTTTCTAACATTCTGTTGCTGAACGATTGATAAAAGGAATGTCGCTGTTTTTGCCCGACCTTTTCAGATTATTTGCCAAGCAGGGATATAGCTCCACCTTCAAACAGGGCTTATAATTTTCCGATGATGATTTGTGGCCCCCACTCTGATACGTACAAACATCACATGACAAGAGGTCATCATTGTTTAAATTGTAAAATATACATCACGTAAGATTGACCATTTTACCCATCTGAGTGTAGAGTTCAGTCATATTAGGTTCACTCACATGGGTGTGCAACCATCCCCACTGTTCATCTTCCTTCTGTGCTGAAACTGAACCCGTGAAACAGTCTCTGTTTGCTCTTCTGTAGTCCTGGTAACCTTCCTTCCACCTGTTGTTTTTAATGAATTTGACTATTGTAGGTATTTCAGATAAGTGGAGTCCGACAGTATTTGTCAGTTTGTGTCTGGCATAATGGCTCTAAGAGGTCATCTTATTTAAAAATAATTTCAAGTTTGGGTATTGGTGGATGAGGTAATGTAGACAGCTTCTCTCTGAGAACTAACACAATTGGACAGAATAATAATAAGAGGAAAATGTTTGGAGAGCCTACATGACAATGAATTATGGGTCCATAATCTGCAAGAAGAGAGAACCAGAGAAGTGAGCCCAGCTTCGGACCTCTGTTTACCTCGAGGCACGTCTCAGTTCTGAAGGAGGGGACTGAGCAGAGCTTTTGGTGGATTCCTGGGACCTAGTAGAACAAGAACTCGGCATTGGAGCCTGCTCGTGAGGGAGGGTTTTCTTGGTAACCCTCGGGCCATGATTCGGGACCCCCGAGCCCCATCCCCTGGGAGGAGGTTTGCCTCAGAGTGAGGCTGGTCTTTACAGGAGCTGATACCCAGCCTCTAATCACTTCATTCATTCTGGGATTAAGGTGATTTCAGATTGTTAGTTTTCCTAGCTGCTTGCCAGAAGCAAATGGGTGAATCTTCCCTGGAAAACTGTAACGTCATTGTAGGCTTCACAATTTCCGTACAGTTGTCCACACACAGCGTCTGGCATGAAATCAAAATCACAAGGCCCGTGAGGAGGCAAGAGGGGTGGTAACAGAACAGACCCACTGGGAATCCAGAATTAACTTGAGAGTAACTCTGCTTCACATATTCAAGGAACTAGCACAAGGTTGAGAATTTCAGCAGAGAACAGAAACTTGAAAATAAAAACACATGGAAGTTTCAGAATTGGAAGCTCAGTGCTGTTAACAGTTCGCTAGTGGGTTTTACAGCCGACTAGGGACAGCTAAAGAGAAGCAGTAAACAGAATATAGGTCAGAAGAAAATGTTTAGGGGCGCCTGGGTGGCACAGTCGGCTCAGGTTGTGATCTAGGGGTCGTGAGATGGAGCCCCGCATCAGGCTCTGTGCTGGGGGTGGAGCCTGCTTAGGATGCTCTCTCTTCCTCTGCCCCCCACCCCAAAAGAAGAAGAAAATACTCAAACTGAAACTAAGAAATTCTGAGAGAGGAAAAATATGGACACAAAAAAACACAGGGAAACAAAAACTAATTCCAGAAGGTTTATGCACCCCTATGTTTATTGCAGCAGTATTTACAATAGGCAAAATGTGGAAGTAACCCAAGTGTTTGCTGATAGACACATGGATAAGGAAGATGTGGTGTGTGTTCACGGTAGAATATTACTCGGCCATAAAAAAGAATGAAACCTTGCTGTTTGCAACAACATGGTTGGATCTGGAGGTTATGATACTAAATGAAATGAAAGGCAAATACCATATGATTTCACTTACACATGGAATCTAAAAAACTAAAACAGAAATAGATTCATAAATCCAGAGAATAAACGGGGCACTGCCAAAGGGGAGGGATGGGGGGTGGTGAAAAAGATGAAGGGAATTAAGAGAAAAAAGAGATTGTGGATGTGGTGAGAAGTCTATGTGTAGTTGGAGGCACGAGGAGAGGCTAGGACAGAAGAAAAACAGGGTGTGAAAAAGAACTTTCACAAGTTGACAACAGAACATAACTTGGAGATGCTGTGCACCTTAAGTGGGGTCAATACAGAGAAAACCATGTATAAACCCATCATATGAAACCCTTGTAAACTAGATGCAGGGTGAGACCTGCGAGCAGCCAGTGGAGACAAGACAGCTTGGGGACGCTGCAGCAAGTGGTCGGCTGACTTCTCAGCAGAAGCAGCAAAAACTGAGAAGACAGCGGGCGGGAAAGGAAACAAGTGGCCCACGTGATAAAAATCCCCTTCGAAAAGGAAGGTGAATTAAAGACATTTTCTGACAGACAAAAATGGAGAGAATTCATCATGAGATCTACAGTGAAAGAAATTGAAATTCTGAAATGTGTTCCTCACGGTCAGAAGCTTGGAAAGGGCAGAAGGAATAAAAAGCAGCAGCAGGTGTAAATATGGGCAAGTCCTCAGTGGTTGTTGTATAAAGTGAGGCGTTGATGCCTGTCTTACTCTCCAGGGCAGTGAAAGCTTGTGCAACTAGCAAGCTAGTAGAAGGGTAGTAATAATACACTCTCAAAGAAGGGATGGAGTTAGGCCCAAATTTGTATATAATTTACGTGAAACATAGTAAATGGACTGAACCCTCCATTGAAAAGCAGAGACAGATTGTGTAAGTCATGCAGAATTAATAATCTGAATATAAAACGGTAGCTGCACACAAAAGATTGAGGCTAGCCACAGCAACAGTGAGGAACAACAGAGGACGGACGACTACTCTAGGGGCAGTCAAGGTTTGGGATAGAGCTACAGTAGTTAAGACACTGTGCTGTTGGCTCAGAGATAGGCATGTTGACCAGTAGAACAAAATGGAGCCATCTAGACACTTGATTTATGAAAAAAGTAAGCCCACAGCATAGTTAATAGATCGTGCTGGATTGATCGGATGGCCATATTGAAATGAAAAGGAAACTCGAACTTTATTTCACACCAGAGGCTAAACTTTCCAGGTGGATTAGGAGATGTAATTATAAAAGTAAAACAGTAAAGCTCCTAAAATAATATGGGATAATATTTTCATGGTCTTGGAATTGAGAAGCACTTTTTAAACAAGTTACAAAAAGCATTAACAGTGAAAGGAAAAGATCACTACTTGGGACTGAATAAAAGTTAAGAACTTGCATTCATCAGAAGACACCGTTCAGGGAGTGACAAGGCAGGCTGCACCCTGGGAGAAGGTATTTGCAGCCTGGATAACCCGCGGTGGGGTCCCATCCAGAATGTATAAAGGACTCTTCCAAATCAGCAGAGAAAAAGATGAACAGCTCAGTAGAAAAACAGGCAAGAGATTTAATTTAAGCAGGTGTTCATAGAAGATATCCACATAGCCGTTAGAACATGGAACAGTACTAAAACTCATTAGTGATCAAGGATATATGCGGCTGGGACCACGGTGGTATGGTTCTCATACCTACCAGAAGTGCTCAGATAAAGGCAGACAATTGCAGTTGAAATGTTGTATGTGTGCTTACGCAAGCTGTTGGAGGCTGCCATGGAAGTGAAAATTGATAGAACCAATTTGCAAAGCTACTTGGAGTTGTTTGCTGAAGTTGAGCACGTCTTTGGCCTGTGACAACTCCACTCCTGGATATACACTCAGCAGAATGGGTACCCGTGTGCAGCAGAAAACTTTAGTAGGATGTTCATAACCAGTGTTTTTAATAGCGCCAAACTGCAAGCACTGCAAATGTTTGCGAATGGGAGGATGGGTAAATAAGCGTGGTTGATACGATGGAACACCACAGAGCAGTGAAAAAGAATAAACCAGAGCTGCGTGTGACGGTGAGCTGACTCGCACGAACAGTCCTGAGGAACGGAGAGCATGCACTGACGGTAGGTACCGTGTAGCTCTGCTCACGTAATTCAGAAGCCCGACAACTGACCGGTGCTGGAACTGTGGCCGGCGCCTTTGGGGAGGTGAAGGACTTACAAAGGAAGTTTCTGGTGTTAACGTTCCTTTGTCTGCATCAGGATTTTGGCTGCGTGGGACCGTTCACTGCTTACGTTTCATATGTTTTCTGAAATATAGTACTTTAATAAGCATGTTAAAATATATTTAATGAGGGTGTAGATTTTGTTGTTGTTGTTCTGCTGATTTACTGTTTTAAGGCCAGACCTTCGTAACATCAGACAGCTTTACCTTCCATCAGACTGTTATTTCTGCTGGCTGATTTTACCCGAGAGAATGGTTTTTAACTTTTTTTTTTTTTTTTTTTTTGCGAAGGCCCATGAGGAACAGGTTTGAATGAGTACATCCAGGCAGGGTGTGTTGATTCTGCCGAGTATTAGGTTGACCCCGTGGCGCATCCCTGTCTTTCAGGTGGTGATAAACTGTGCCATCCCTAAGGGCTTGAAGTACAACCAGGCTACGCAGACTTTCCACCAGTGGCGAGATGCTCGACAGGTGTATGGCCTCAACTTTGGCAGCAAGGAGGATGCCAATGTCTTCGCAAGTGCCATGATGCATGCCCTAGAGGTGTTGAATTCCCAGGAAACAGGTACGGCATCTGGGTTTACTTGTCTTCTCGAAGTGCCATGTGTATGTGAATGTGAAATATATTTGAAGTTAATTCTTGAATTTCAAAACAAAGCTTTGGTTTGTTGATGATAAACATATGGTCTAGAAGGATAATCTCATGTTAGTCGATTTTTAACCCTCTCTTTTGAAGATAGTTACGCTCCTCCTGCTCTAGAGAACCTCAGCTTTCCTTGCATGATGTGAGGCTCTGAGAATATGCCCTGGATAGAAATCATGTGTATGTATCATCTCGCCCCTGTACGAAGAAACACGTTTTCTGAAGCACCTTAAAACACATTTTAAGGCGCTACCGAGCCCATGAATTTCAAGTAGGACCGGATTCCCTTCCTCCTCGTTCATAGAACTTGATCCTGGAAGTTGTTTAAAGATTTTAGGAGTGCCCTCAGGTGGTACAAGCCATGAATTGCATCTCCTCTTACGCTGCATGGTGGTTAAAAAGAGAAGCAGAAATAATTCACTGTTTAAGAACCCAGGATTTAAATCTGTGTATGCATCAGAGATGAACTGTGTTTTAGTTTTGGTTCACAAGATTGAAAAGGAGAAATGCCAACGTGTGGTGAACTCTTTGGGGAGAGAGAGATTTTATATTCTAAAAATAAGTTATATGTAAAACAGTGTAAATGTGATTTCTCTTGCTTTTGTTGTGTGCTTGGTAGTGAGTTGAATATACAAATGTGCCATAAGCAAAATGTATTTATATATTTTAAGAGGAGAGAGAGAGTGATTTTTGATATTTTGTTGAAGGGTATAGACTTTCAAAACCTGTTATAGATATGTTAAATTTTATTTATACTGTGTCTTATTCTAAGAAGGGTTGAAACATCTAGCCCGTGGGTTAGTCTATTTCAGATATGAATTTCAGAGTAAGAAGACATTTTGGAATCTGCCGAAAGCTCCTTTTTATGCCTGTAGATGTTTTATATGAGCTCTTTTGAGGAAATTAGGATTTCTGTAAAGCATTGGTACATAGCTCTTACATCTTACCTGTTTTGAGAAACCTCTGGAGCTCCTGGTGTGTCAGTAAGTCCAAAGGGTAGCAGAGAGAAGCCTTCGGGTATGCACCGTCTCAGGTGTCGATGGTCTGAATGCCCACATGTCCGTCTCTTGTCGGCCTTCTGCTGCAGGGGTAGAATGCCCCCTTGTCATGGTCTCACCGTAGCAGAGAAACTAGAATCGTGGCTCTTAATATCCTATGAAGAGGCCAACTGCACACCAAATAATGAAAGGCCCAAAGTGTAGAGGGTGTATGTAGGACACTGACATTTTGGCTTCCCCATATTTGAAATGAACTAGCATTTTTATTTCTAAATCTTCAAAAGAGTGTCCATGGATGTTAGGAACTAAATGTTACTAAAGTGGTTAAAATGATTATTTCTCATCTTGTCATCAATTTGTTTTTTACCCAGTGGAAAGGATTGTTTTTATCAGTGTGTAGTCCTGTAGTTTGCTTTCAGAATGCAAGTGCTAATGTTTTTTTCTTCTGATCTCCATCTTTTGAAATTAATGAGTCTTAGTGTGGAAAAACTCCATTACATTCTCTTGTAATTTTCACATTCTAGAAAGTTTGGCAAGTGGGAAACTTGCCCATCCTCTCACTAGCTACGAGCATTTTGGTAAGGCAAAAAAATTTAATAGAGTCTTCTTAGATGATCTCGAAATTTGTTCTTTTCTGTGTCACAGCCTGGGCCTGTCATGCTGTGGGCCGAGGGGAGGGGGACATTGGTGGAACAGGGGGCCCCGACTTAACCATCTCCCTGCAGAGAGGCTTTGGTTTTTAGCAATTACATCAGAGAAGACAAAGCACGGGAAATGGTTTATTTAGAAAATGACTTTTCTCATAAATTACTGTAGTTAAGCACTAATTTCTGATCTTTGATGGTATTAACTGGCTTGGAAGTGGATGCACAGGAGGATTTGGGTGCTGAGAATCAGAAGGGTAGAGTTTTCTCTGTAGATCTCCGCAGTGGGACACACGTGTCTTCTCCCCCACCCCCTGGATTATTTAGTGGCCTTTCCGTCCACCTGAACAAACGTGCCCAGTGATGTCGCCTCTCATCTTGAGTGCACCTTCCCTTTCCACAGCCGTTTGCTGTGGGTTCACAGCCAGTTCCTTGCTGAAACCACCTGTTGTCTTCCTGCCAGAACCACGTTGAAAAAGCTTAACTGGGGGCGCCTGGGTGGCTCAGTTGGTTGAGCGACTGCCTTCGGCTCAGGTCATGATCCTGGAGTCCCGGGATCAAGTCCCGCATCGGGCTCCCTGCTCAGCAGGGAGTCTGCTTCTCCCTCTGACCCTCTTCCCTCTCGTGCTCTCTATCTCTCATTCTCTCCCTCTCAAATAAATAAATAAAATCTTAAAAAAAAAAGAAAAAGCTTAACTTGTGTGTCCTCTCCCTAAGCAAACAATATACCCAATGAACCTCTGATCAGAAGCAGCAGAAACAGACATTCCCAAAGGTGAAGTGACTGCAGACATTGGTCTTTCCTGCTGCCTAGCGATTTGCCATGTTTTAAAACCATTTTTCCATATCGAATACTTCTGTTCATTTTGTTTTGTTGTTTTTCTAGCTGTTAATATGGTTATTATCCACTGAATGTTGGTTTATCCTTCTGAGTGATTTTCAGGTTTTTTTTTTAAAGTTATGCACACCTTTGTTGAAACGGAATCGTCTTGAGAACCTCCGTGCCTTCACAGAGAAAACTGTAGCGCCGCTCTGATGGGGTCAGAACCCAGAGCCACCGAGGCACCATGCGGCTTTCTAGAGCAGGGGCTGAAGTTACTAGCCAGTCTCTTTTGCCAAAACCCATAATCGCCCTGTTCTCCTTTCCCCTCTCCCTTGTCCCTGAGTTCTCTAAACCCTCAAAAATTTTTTTAAATGAAGAAAAAACTACTTTCTTTGGGGCTATTCATACTGACCTATAAAGTGCTCTGTGTGTGTGTGTGATATTTCCGTCTCTTTTATGAAAAGGGAGGGTGGCAGGAATGTTTTCCTTTATTTTGTTTTTAACTTGGTGTGCAATTATCTAATATACTGGAAAGTACAGGAGGTGCTAAATACAGCGAGTTATATTTGGAATTTAAAAAACACAAATCACATGTTCTAACATTCTTGAAAAAGAGTTGAATTAGCCTTCGTTCTTCTATACCAAATGCTACAGTTTATCTCTTCCCTTTCTCTAATGATAGACTCGATTTTAAACACTTAAATTCAGATTGCATTATCCAGATCGATATTTTTTATTCCTGTGTTGTTTGTCACGTACATTTATAGGAGTTTTGCAGATAATAGTTGTAGATTATATAAAATGTAAAGTTAGTCCTTGTGATGATTAGTGGAGGTAAATTTGCACAATTTGTTTTTGAGAAAGGTTCGGGGCATTTGAAAATAGGAAATAATTTTTTTAATTCGCTTTTTAAAAAGGAAAACCATATGCATAGCCAGTAAGTATATTCTGCTTTTGTTCTTCTCGACCAAGATTAAGCATACGTTTGTAGAAGGAAAACCTTTAAATATTCTACCATTAACTAAGACTGCTTTTGCTAGATTTTATTTTACAGCTATTGAAGATGAGAACACAATGGGATTCTCATGTTTAAATTTCTTTTTAGATTTTAAAAATATTTTTATATAGAGATTCCATTAATTTTTTTCTTACTGGAAATTTGGTCTGATACACCTTTCAGTATGAGCATTTATATGAATTTTATCTCCGCATTTTTTAATCTCTTGGAGATATGTTTTGGAATTAATTGGATTTTAGAAATCTCAGAAAGTTTCTAGAAATACCTTAAGTTAATAGTGACATTGATTTTTCAGTCCTGCAGACGGCACGTTTCACGGGACCAATACTGAGGTCCTCTCACAGATGCCATCAAGTGTGTTTGGAGCGTAGGTCCTGTGTCCGGCACAGGGAATAATGCTAACTGGCTAAGGTCTGTGCCTGGCCCTCTGGGCTTTCAGTGGGGTTGGAGCTACTGGAAACAAGATCAGCACATTAGGATACAGTGTGTGAGAGGCTGTGAGTGAGGTCTGGACAAAGGCCTGGGGAAAACCAACAAAAACTCCGGGGTCCAGGGGAGATTCGAACATCAGTTGATGTTGGGGGTATGATTTGAAGAATGCGTAGGCCTCAGCCGTGGTAGGAGAACATTCTAGACAGGCTGAGAGGTGGTGTTGTGGCCTGGGTGTGGGAATTTACAGAGGAGGGAAATCTGAGAGAGAAGGTGGGGAAGGTGGGGAAGGGCCCGGTGTCCTGCTGAGGGCTCTGCGTGGCCCGGCGCTGGGCCGGGGAGGTGCCGCCTGAGAGGGGGGCCGGGTGCGTGTTTCTGTGAGCAGGTGTGTGCCGTCGGACGGAGGTGATGGACCGGTGAGCGTGTGCCCCAGGCCTGGCCTTGGTTAGGGCGCTGTTGTGATGCTGCAGGTGAGAAAGGTGGCGCCCCAAAATGAAACCCTTATGGCCAGGGGAGGAGCAGAGAGAGGAGGAGGTGACACCTTTCCTTCCTGCTGTTGTACCCTCGAGGGCGCTGCTCCATTTTGTCCTAAAGTCTGTCTGAGGCAGGAACAATGATCTGTTTATTAGGTGCCTGGTGTATGCCAGGTCCTTACTGGGCACGCGTATTACTGATGATCTTTATAATAACCCTGCAGGGTTGGGGGTTATCCTTCTCTTGGAGATGAGAGTGCAGCTTATAGAAGGTCACGGGACCTGCCCTGGGGCCCACAGCTAGACCACCGCATGAGATCGTGTTTAAGATCTGTGTCGGTGACATGGGATAAGCAGGCCCGGAAGGAGGCAGGTGTGCTGTAGGGTGATTACGGATGTGTCCCTCCAGCCACTGGCCATCGTCTGGGCCACTGGCCAGGACAGCGTTAGCCAGAGCAGGAGAGGAGAGGGTGCGGTTCTGGGCCCTGGGTTACGGATCTGATTCTGGACACACTGCATTTGGAGCACTTTATTTAT